TCTCACAGTCTCTGTATGAGAGACTCGAACGATAAAATTGTTAATTCAGAGATTCGAGTCTCTCACAGAGAGACTGAATGAATAAAACTGAAAAATTGAGAGACTCGAGTCTCTCGAAGAAAGACTGGGATCTCTGAAATATGTTGAAAATTTTAACCATGTCTATCGAGACATCACTTATTGAGAGATTCGAGTCTCTCGTTCAGAGACTAGATACGAAATGAGAATCTCACTATAAGCGACTCGAGTCTCTCGTTCAGAGACAGACAGAACAGTTTTTTTGACAGTCTCTCGACAGTCTCTCTCAGAGACACCAAACAGACTCGATAAGAGACGGAGACTTGAGTCTCGCTTTCAAAGACTCTGAGAGACTGAACATTTTTATCTCTGGTAACTATGTGGATTGTTTTAGTTTTAGAGAAATGCGAAGTTTAGCTCAGGATAGGGAAGAGTAGAGGTACGTGTCCAACCAATCTTAGGACTGACGACCTTATGATGATGGTAATTAAATTACCTCAAATTAATGAGGAAAATTGTTGCTGCTATCTCACTCCCGCCGGAAATTGAACTCGAAACCTTTGGCTTTACGAACCAATACTCTAGCCAAGGTTCCGGGTTCAGTTGCAGTAATTTGTAGTGGATAAAAATTAAATTTATTTTCACATTTATATTAACTATTAAGCACTATTAAAAGTTTCTTAAAGTATTTCACATGATATTAGTTTCATTTTATGTTCTCTAATCATATACACGTAATAGGAAAAATATCAGATTTTTAGAAAGGAAAAAGAGTAATAAATAATTTACTGGTGAATAATGCTGCGGAAAGACGTATTCTAAATTTTTAATGTATTGGATCAATATTGGGGAGATATCGAAAAAGAGAGGGTTACTATGCGGCTAAGGACCATCCTGACACAAACATATTATGAAAAACTGGATCATCTTTGTGACTTCTGATGAGTATTAGTGATACCAATCCAACTTTCATTGTATGATGTCTCAGAAACGACGAGAACATCGGAAATGTTGACATTGCATTGGCTATAATATCAACTACCATCGTCAACGTGTTGAAATGTAGACGGAAATTGAAAATATTTATAAAAACGACCTAGGTGAATGAACCACGGAGTATTTGAATTCCTGTAAACTTACTTATCGTTAGGTATATTAGTATATGTATTAAAAAAGATATGGATAAGAATAAAATAGAGATTTATATCTGCAAAACTGACAACCATGAGTTACAAACTGGACATTCTTTTGCATTAAAACGTTATTAATCCAAAAAGTTGATGTAAAATACCGACGTGAAATGTATTGCAGTTAAACACTTCTCTAACTCAAACCTATTAAATGCAAGCAGTTATGCTCGAGTTAAAAAACTTCCAGTTAAGGCAAAATTTCTGCTTTAACGTCAAAGTTGTTGAGCACTACCTAAACCTTTATTACAATCCCAAAATAAAGACTGAGAAACCGAATTCGGTCATTTATTGTTTAAAATTAAAACATATATGTAAGTAAGTAAAATTTATTTTAGTTATTTGCTTTGTCGCCCTCTGACTAGACAACCATTAGCAAATGTAGTAGGTACTTTTACCTAGCAGCAGAAATGGCCAGTAGCAATTTAAGTTGGCCATTTGCTCTAATGCATAATCATAACAGACGTAAAAACATGAGCCGTTGGTAATTTATCGTTGTTAATTGTTAGGAAGAATATTAATAGTAAGTAAGAAAACCAGGTAGGTTTCTAAAGAGCATATACTACATATTTCTGGAAGTTGGCCAGCCTGAATAAATAGTTGTCGCGAGATCGATGAATTTTTAGTACGAGAACGAGTTCGAGGCGATACAAAGCGAAGAAGTGACGAAGTGTTGAAGGTGTTCAAATACTTGACAATATTATAGTAGAATATTACACTTGATATTACAATTGTCCACCCTTCTTACATCAGTATAATCCGTATACGATATTATTGTTCCCTCAGGAATAATACCTGGCATGTCATTTATATAAATTAAAAACAGTAGAGGCCCAAGGATATAGCCCTTAACTACTACTGTTTTTACTTTACTCACTCACCATAAACATCATCAATCCATACCCTTCGGAAACTTTTACCTGGTCAATAGTAAATTTGCATGCCTTCTTGTTTCAAGATTGTTTAGTTTGTCAAGTGAAAGACTGACGGATAACGACAAAAACACGTAGTATTTTTAGAAGAAGTTCCTTTTCAAATATATAATTATACATATTATATATTTATCTCTGTATATATTTCAAAGAAAGTATCCAAACAATGTTTTTGTATATTACTTCTCTGTGTTAACATTTAAAACTTTTGTATTCAAATTGTTTTGTATAATTTTGTCTTCCTGTAAGTATTTCCAATCTCCTATTCGAATGCTTTTGTATTCTATCTATCTGATTAAACAACTTTATTATCTGTACCTTTCCATAATCCTTGTTAACATTTCAACTCTTCCTACTAACCACACGACTGTAATTCACATTCCCTCCTTGGAGGTTTCCGGGTTTGCTGGTCATGGTCTAGATTGGTTGGTGATTCTACCACTCGTTTTGCCATCAGTAGTGGATGACATCTTCAGTGACTTGCTGTCTATGGGTGCTTGGAGTACTCTATTGGTTGGGGGTCAAATTGCCAAGTGTAGTAGTCAGCCCCTGAAGATGTCATCTACAGCTGATGACAAAAAGTCTGGTAGAATCATTAACCAATTTAGACCATGGCCAGCAAATCCAGACAGCTCCACTGTCCAAATTGACTCCAGATATGAAAGCCTTCTACAATAAATTCCAGTAAATAAGAATTTTTGTATTAAGTATTTTCGAACCCTACTACTTTCTGATCGAAATCTTACTTGATCTACTAATAACTGCTCTTTTACAGTTTTGAGAAGACTTCTGTAGCAAAATTTGATTTTATTTGCTTTATTTAATTAAGTTAATTACAGTAATTGTTACAAGACCTCTGTACAAACGTTGTATGTGGCACGCCAAATTAATTTTATGCAACTAGTTAAATTGGATCGTGATTTAGATGAAGTATAAAAATTCACTGTTTATTTTAAAACATTTACTCGAACTTCTATTCTAATCAATAANTATTGGATCAATATTGGATAAACATTGTATTAAAATATAGGAAAAAGGTATATCTCGTATATATTGGCAATTTATAGCCAATATTGGGTCCATATACAATGTTGTACCAATATAGAATAAATATTGGGCCCATGTCGTGTACTACTGGGGATGTCTCTGACTAGACCTTCATGCCTGAGAAGGTGTCCTACCAACCTATTTCGTCTATTTCTTAATGACTTCTATAGAGTCCTCTGTTCTCCTATTCTTTCTAATATCCCTTCATTTCTAACGTTCTCTATCCATGGAATCCTCATCATTACAAACAACGCCGCGCTCCAAACATCCACCTTTAACAATCTTTTTCAAATTTCTAAATTAACCGTTCCCGGGGATAAAAGTGACTTCTTCTAATTTTTCGTCTCCTATCTTCATATTCACTCTTTCCCTACTTGTTCTTCCCTTGCATTTTATATTTATTATGACATAGAATACATAAAAAGAAATTAATCAAATAAATAGATTTATAAGTACTTACCGTTTAAGGTAAAATTATAGAACCAACTTCCGGTACTTCCAGGAACGGTATTTCGATTGCAGCTTTCAGCAACGCTCGAAAACCGCATTATAGGCAGCATACCAATACTATTTCTAGACTGAGGAGGAATTTGACCGTCCAGTGCTGTATTTAGAAGTGGCGGACCTGCGGCCGAATACATGAAACAATACCTTGAACTATCTCCAGATTTTTTGGTAGTAGTTGGTGACACTACCACATAGTACGTTCCATTTTCTACCCAATTTCCATGGCACGTATAAGCTGAAATAAAAATATTACAAGTTAATTTCAACGATATAGCAATTTATTTTCTACGTGGAAGTTACAAATCGGTGAGGTTTAACGTTAGTTAAAAATAGTACATCTGGTAAATTTTAAAGTGATGCATTTGTTCAGTAAGTTCTGGGAAATTATAACGTAAGCATGGGAGGAAATTAATTTCAGTAAGTTCAAAGACTTTAGTATCAAAATACGTATAAAACTTTGAGTAAGGTATTATATTTACGACTATCTCTTGGGAATCCGTAGGAATACTTAGGTACTAGCACTAAATAGCTAATTTAACTTCAATGAAGTTTTCTCAGTGTGTATTATAAGAAATTAAAATTCATAAAGTTTTAAACGATATTCACAGAAAAACGTGGTTAGGTATTTCGAAAAGACTTTAAAGGTGAGCTCTATGTACAATTTTTTAAGCATTGGATTTGATTGAAATTACGGAATAAAATTTCTTCAACGTATCTCCTATGAAGTAAAAAATGTATTTTCAAATTATACAATTGGATTCGTACCTGAGCTTTTCTGAGAACATGACGATTTAAATTCCATGGAGTCTTTAGAACCACTACATCCAACAGCTAAGGAATCGTAATCTTCCGAAATACACATATTTGGATCATTTTTGGAAGGCTCTCCGTCTTAAAAAAATACAAAATATATTTTTAACAACGCTAATATTAAAAGAACAGGGAGAGAGAGACAGAAGAAGATTAATAAATACCTGCTTGTTGTTGTCTTCTTTTTCTTCGTCCTTCATTAAGAATATTTGACACCGAATATCTACCGAGTCTTGGACATTTTTTTGGATGAAGAGTCGTAGCTAAAAAAAAGTTTTTAAGTTAAAAATGAACAGCGAAACATGGACGCTGGGCGTTACGGAATGGAATAGCGTGGATAGAGAAGGTTAGAAATGATGAGGTATTAAAAGGAATAGCAGAATAGAGGAATCTATGGAAGTCAATACAAAATAGGCGAGATAGGTTGATAGGACACCTTCTCAGGCATGAAAGTCTAGTTAGAGATATATTAAAGGCACAAACGGAAGTTAGGAGGGGTAGAACTAGACCTAGATTAGATTACTGTTCGCAAATAGTTAAGGATGTGGGTTCAGGCAGCTCAGGATAGGAAAGATTGGAGGTGCGTGTACAATCAGTCTTAGGACTGAGCACCTTATGATGATGATGAAAAATGAACAGAAGCAAAAAGTTAAGTTCCAAAAAAGCACTTAGTAAAAATGTTATCCTTACTCATCAAAGTGGTATAACGCAATACACTAGGATCAAAGTCTTGACAAGCCTCGTCAGGATTTTCCACATATTTTTCTAAAAATGATATTTTTTGGTGTACAGGTATCTATAATTTATTTAAATAAATCTTACCTGATTGTTGAATTTCAATGACATTACTGTCTCTTTTATAAAATACCATACAGACATAACCGCTGTCACTGGAAAAGAAACATTATCGTTAATTGTTCCGAAATTCAGGAGGATTTTATGACGATAAACCAGCAAATTTTTGTAATGTGAATTAATTGGATTAAGACACTCCACTTTAGAGATATTTAGATAATATGGGAACACTTGCAATGAATTCAATGAAAATTAAAAACTGGATATTTTCACTAGGTAGAAAGTATAAGATTATTATTATATGGAACGTATTTCCTTTGGCTTACTTTAGTATACATATTACATAAATTAAGCTTACCATCCTGCAGTAACATGAGCGACAATTTGGACTTTCCTATGTTCTTGAGATTGCAATATACTGTGACATACAACTCTCTCTTCAGTGTTACCCCTGCGGTGATCCTGGGACTGAAATCCAAATTCGTGGAAAGCAAATTGTTGTGCGTAAGTGTGATGCATTCGGTTAGGCTTCGATTCTTCATCAACAATTTTCAAAGTTGCGTGGCCTTGCGAAAATTTGTAGGTTTTCTTATGATCCAAACTTAGCCATGTATGATGATCAGTTATCCAGACGGGAAATTTACAGCGATTGTGGTGATTATCGACTAAAGAAATTACACATACAATAAATAATAATTAAAGTTTCTTTAATAAAAAAAAATGTACGAGCACTGTCTCTAATACTTATGATAATAGTAAATCAACAAGAAATTCATTCTGATTCTGCTAGGACTTTAGATTAGTAGCCTTACCTGTTGTCAATTTTATCGTTTTGCTTCCTTCAAAAGCGCTTTGTAGACCACTGCAAGTGGCATCAGCAGATTGGGCAATGTTGTAAATTGTTTTGTCCCCTCGAGTTTCTCGTTGATATATAAAACATCGATATTGATCTTCATCAGTTGAAGATCGTCTGTTACCTTGAGAAACTTTACCAACCAGATAACGAGTTGAACCTTCCTTCCAAATTGCCAAACAAATTAGTTCTTCCACTAAAATGATAGAGTAAAATTTTAACAAATTTTATAGGTTATAATAAAATAGAAGGAAAAAGCTTACCAAAGCTCTCTGTTGATGGAACGTCTGGACAGGCTTGATACTTTAACACTAATCTTGAATCGTCAGTACAACTTTCAGCCTTGCTGGGTGGATTA